CCATTTTTATCAATATGATTTCCAAATCATTTTCAATTTCATTACTTATCTAATATATAAATATTTCATCAATAATCAGTCATTATAATCCATGAAAAACATGATTTAGGCATTTAGGTAATCTCATGCTTAACCTACAAGTTGTATGCAACTAGATGTCGATCCTCACCTCAAATGAGCTTTAAATAGTTCCTTCTCAACCCAATGCTCAAGCTTCGGACAAGGGAATTTGATAATTGATTTCTTGCTTATAAATGGGTGTTAAACAGCCTCCTCAAGGTGCTAGCTCAACCCCTAAACATCGATACGAAAACAGCCCCTAGAATGGGTGTTTTCCGGCGAACTCGTTTCCTAGTTTTTCCAAGATTGCTCTAGGTTAGCATCTAACCTTTACAACAAATAAGGTACCCTTATAATAACAATTTATACACTTGAAATAGTGCATAATAGTTCCACCAATCGTTCATATCATTTGGAAAATGAAAAGAAAGGTTTTGGAGTTAAAACTCGCTTTGGAAAGGAGGATCCGATTCTGCGAGGTTGTGTTTTGTTCGGACGATTTGGAGGCCTTCCCCAACTCCGTTTGATTCAAAAAAGACCTTCATGGATTCCTTGTCTCGAGATCTTTCCGTAGACACCTCACACGCCCTATTTTCACAACTGGAGCTCAAGATACGAACCAGACAACACCTCCCTCGCCCTGCTTGAGCTTATGCGCAGCAGTTCACTCAAGCTCGGTTTTTATCTGAACATATCTCTCTCTTCTCACATCAACCACCCAATAAGTCAACTAGACTTCAAGGTCTATCCAGGGACACCTTATACACCTCATTTGGTCTAGTAAAACTCCAGGTATGGAGGGAGACAAATCACCCCCATGATTTGTGCGAAATTTGACAAGGTGGGTCTCCCCCTTTAATTTCTTTGTCTAAGTTCAGCCCACAAAGTCAGATAAGGACGCCCCCTAGGATTATTTCTCTTGTATTGAATGTGATGAGAAGATTTTGAGCACACCTCAGTGTTCCCCAATTATTTTGGGAGCAAAATATCAACTAATACTTCCAAAGATGGAAAGATGGGTCCTATTGTTCTATCTTTTGTCATAAGATGTCTTTTGTACTCATTCTAATTTATATAGACCAAGTCAACCTTCTACATCATATTATTTATCTCTAATATGTGTAGGATGGTACCCATAAATTATATGATGTATACTTATCAGCAGGAACATAGGCCTTTGTATTCTTCTCCAATCATTCAATCACTTATTTATGTCTTTAGTATTCATATTTATGGGCTACTAGCCGTGTGGGTTACCCTCCAGTGGGTCTAGGACACCATTCTTGAATAATTGCTATTTTTAGCAGGTTAGGCCCAAAATAACATTTGGGCTGCCCGACCGCACTTACATTGTACCGAGGGGTTGCATATCTTTATTTAAGGATGTTGGGCCCCAATATCAATAATATGGCCCAATTAATTATTTAGAAGTCCATTACTATTATATGAGCCCAAATAATAATATGATTAATCATACGTTCCGTAAAACTTTAATCATTTTACAATTATTCGAAAATAGGGAAATTCAACACATAAGCTTTGAAATTAAATTTAAATTTCTAGGACGTTCGGGTGCGGTATCACATTTGTAATATTCATGAAGTAGCTACTGCCCTGTGCTCTGTTGATGGTACTGGTACATTGATCTGGAATGAGGAGGTAAATGGTCAGTATACATTTAAATCAGCATATGAAGAAGTAAGGGCAAAACATGATCCTACATTTACATATAAACATATTAAAAATGGAAGATGGTCAAGGGGCTTATACCAACATCAGAAAATTTAAAGAGGTTTGGTTTGGTCCTTGAACCCTCTATGTGTGTTATGTGCAGAAAACATACTGATAACATGGAGCATCTTTTTTATCATTGTGACACTGTAATGCCTATCTGGCATTACTTCATGAGAATTTTTGGCATTTCAATCCCTGCCAATGGTAACATTAATCATATTTTTAGAAGCTGGTGGCTAAAAGCGGGCTCTAAAAGTGTGGTTGATATTTTCAAACATAATATGGCAGGAATTATTTGTTGGCAGGTTTGGAAAACATATGCTAATATTGTTTGGGGCAATAGCTCAGGGAGCAGTGTACCAGGTGAAAATATTCTTATTGCTCAAATTAAAACCCACACTAGAGACTGGGCTTGGTCTTTTCCTAAAATGAAAAACAACACGCTGGATAACATCTTGAAGGATGAGCAGCTCATCTCACCTAATTTCACTGCTACAGGCAATTCTATCCAGATTATTCGTTGGAGGAAACCTAATACTCAACTTAAAATGAACGTGAATGCCAAATACTTATCTGATGCTGCTTCTAGAGGTGTTGTGCTTCGAAATCCATCTGGTGAGTTGATCTGGGCAGTTAGCTTTTCGATTGTTGCATCTTCGCCGATTGAAGCTGAACTTTTGACGATGATAGAGGGCATAAGCAGAGCGGCGGAGGATGGATTTGTTGAATTTCAGGTGGATTCCGACTCTAGCTTGGCCTTGGCTATGATACGAGAAGGGGGGGTAAGGCGATGGTCTGACCTAATTCAGGAAACCAGACTGAATTTGATGAGGAATAACCTGAAGATCGGACATGTAATGCGATAAGGCAATTGGACAACACATTTTTTGGCTTGGGATCATATGGTCCCAATTAAAAAGTTTCTCAGTCCATCTGCGCTTCCGACCCGGGCCAAGAGAGCTTTATATGGATAAATTTAGCATTCCCTCTATTAGATGGTAGACTTATTTTTGATTGTATTTTGAAGAAGTATGCTTCTTCTTGAAAGGTATTGGCCTAGTCCCCCTTTCTTTTGTACTATTTATTATTTTTAATAAAACTCGGCAAATGTTCCCCGTCATTTGCCCCACTGATTTTGGTGGTTGGCCTTCTGGGTTTAAAAAAAAGAAGTTAAAATCTAGTTTTCATTAGAAAACCAACGCAATATTTTTTTTTTAATTTTTCTGGAAGCTTTTAACAACGATTATCTATAAACCGGCGTAGTATAATTTTCCAAAAATAGTATTTCATGTCGGTTATTTACCAAAACCGTCGTGGTATAGTTTTATAAAAAAGTATTTCACATCGGTTATTTATCAAAACCGACGTTGAAAGGTAAAATATAATTACTCTAAAAAATATTTGACGTCGGTTTTAGACGTAAAAAGTGTCCACTTTTCACGTCTCTCACTTAGACGTCTCTTGTAAAACCGACGTGAAATGTGTAAAATAACCGACATGAAATGTCTCTAATTTGTAGTAGTGTGAAGAGGGATTAATTGTGTTGGTTAAACCAAAATCGTTGTGTTGAGGTTATCAATCTCAATTGATTTCATCAAGGAGTTAAGAGATTAAATGCTACTATCAAGTCGATATATGATGGTGTTCTATGCTTGGCTAATGGTAATGGTTGTTTATGAACGATCTCGTTATTAATAATTACCCTTGATGAATTGGAGATACTTCTCGATTGAGTATTCAAGAGGGCATAAGTTATAGATATAACCGGGATCAACAAGTGGAAAATAGCAAAGTCAAGTCTTTTATCTTAATCACATAAGTCGTTCATCTTAATGTTTTAAATTATGAAATCAAATCAATCTAAAAAAACCTTTTAATTACAAGTTTCATAAAAGAAAAATATTACTTTCTCTGTGGATACGAACTCTACTACGCTATACAACGTATAAGTAAAGTATTGATCTTATTTTGAGGCACACAACGACTTAAGTATCGTTAGGATAAGAGCAAATCTACTCTTGTGCTAAACCAAGTTTCTTATGTGGAAAAGGTTTTGAGTATGTTTAATATGTAATCTGCTACTCTTGTTAATGTTTCTGTGGCTTCTCATTTTGTGCTAACTAATTAAGGATCAGTCTCCTAAAACTAATTTTGAAATTGATAATATGGCATTTGAGCCCTACTCCAGTGCAATAGGATATGTCATTTACCTTATGGTTAGTACTAGACGTGGCATTGCTTATGATGTTAGTTGTTTAAGTCGTTACATGGCTAATCGTGTTTTGCCTCATTGGAATGCTCTTAAATGGTTGTTAATATATCTGAAAGCTACTGCAAAACATGGTTTGATTTTTGATAAGTCTCGTGATGCTACTGTGTTACATGGCTATGTGAATTCTAACTATGCTAATGATAGAGATAATATGAAGTCAATCATTTCTTGTATTTTTACTTTGTGTGGATCCTGCATTAGTTGGAAGTCTCAATTGCAACCAATTGTTGCACTTTCCACTAATGAGATTGAGTAAGTTAGTGCTACTGAAGCTTTTAAAAAAACCATTTGGCGTAAACAACTTATTAATGATATTGGTTTTCTTAAGTAGGGCATTACTGTTTCCTCTGATAATCAGTCTCCCATTGATGTCCGGTTCAACTTTATCTGAGATATTGTGGATGCAGAACATATTATGCTGAACAAGATTCCGTCTAAGTTCAACCCTACTGATATGGGGACCAAGCGTCACTCAATTGAGAAGTTGTTATCTTGTAAGCGAACATTAAATTTGGACGATAGATAGTTGTTGCTTGTCTTGCAAGTTGCTGGTCTTAGGGATTGATATTTGCCCCTTAGACCTTGACTTCGGAACCTTGTGTTCTCTCGCCTGTTTAAGTGTGCCTCGGATCTTTGTGACCTAAGGAGAGCTTTATGCATCTCCAATTGTTTGCCTATTATATCCTTGGATATTATACGCAACCCAACGATGATAAGTCCCTCCATGTCACTGTTGTCTACTCTACACCACATGGGACCAATAAGGTGGAGAATGTGGGAGGTATTGGCCCTATGGATTAGGCCTTCAATTATTCATCATGTGACTTGGATCTATCTTGTTTGATTACAGTGGAAGATTCAAACTTGATCTATGACTCACCTTTTGTGACAAGACACTGAACAATTTATTTGAAATAAACTTGTTTATTTGAACTCTAGATCTAAACAAAGGTAATACTCCATACTTTTCTTAGATAATCAAATAATGAAAATTTATAAATAAATTTCTTATAGGACGGAGAGAGTATGTATAGCAAAACAGGAAATGTATACATTGAAGGTATGAACCTAACCTTCAAAGGTTTACACAACTCTTATGAAGTACGTAGTATTATAGTAACGGTGCATAGAGGAAGTACACTATGGATTGAAAACCTTTAACACAATAAAACATTTGGCAAACAAATCAAATCAAACAGAGCTCTCATCCTTGACTTTATGGGCCTCGTGGTGATCCATTCTGCCTGGTGTGAAGAACGTGCTTGAAATTTGGGGGTCCTATGCAAACACAATAAAAAAAAGTGTGCCCTTAATTCGAATATTTTAAGAGAACATAAATCTTTTTTTAAATGATTAAATGTAAAAATGTAATTAACTAGTTTTTCAAAACCCTTGATTTATTCAGCTTTTTTCTCCCTCGACCTAATTCCCTCCCGTCAGTGCCGTCTGCCGATGACATGATTTCTTAATTCCCTGGAGTCTGTCTCCATGTCGAGAAAAGATTTCAAGGAAATTCTTTCAAAAAATAGAGTGGCAGGAAAACAATTGAGAAAGTATTTGGTTGAATCCCCAATCCCAAGAGCCCACGTCCGACCCGACAAGATTATTGGAGGTTGTAAGTCACGATATCTCAGTCGACCCAATGATGGTAGATCTTGTACCCGTGTGCATCAGAGTTACAGCTCATCACACAGAGCTGTAACCTCGACACGATCGTTGCGGGTTTCGATCCTTAGTCATTCTTACAGCTTTTCTACCACTCAATCAACTGAGCTATTCGTGCGAATCTGAAAGCTAGTTAATTTCTCGCTCTAACCACCATGGACATTACTTAACACTGACAAGTAATTCTTATTCAAATCGTAGTCGCCTAGCATGTAATGAGTGACCACAAATAATTCAGTGCTTATACCGTGGAATCTGTGCATGGTGAGCACCATGCACCCCTTGTTATTTTTTATTTCTCATTTTCTTATATTTGTTAATAATTTTTTTTTTTTTTGATCTGATTTTTATAAAATTTATATCAATTTTTTTTATTTTTCACGATCTTTCAAATGAGACCAATATTGCCTATGTAATTTTAATTTTTTACATTCATACATTTTTTGTAATATATTTTTATATGCATACACTTTTTCTATAATATATTTTTTTCATCACTTTTATATGTTTTTAGATGTTTTTAAGATATTGAGTTTATTTATTTTGCTTCTAGCTTGGAATTACATTTGATAATATACGAAGTTACATCATCTTATACTTCAGTTACAAGTTATTATGTGTGAGTTACATCTTGTTATACAAGAGTTACATACTTTTATGCGCGAGTTACATGTAAATTATGTGCGAGTTACATCTTGTTATGTGTGAGTTACATCTTGTTATACACGAGTTACATACTTTTATGCGTGAGTTACATGTAATTATGTGTAAGTTATATCTAATTATTTGTGATTTTTTACTTATCTTTATCTTGAACTAATTCAATTATAACTGAATTAATTTTTTCCATTGCCAATTTAATACAAAATTTTATTAATCCACATAAAATAAGTATATTGTATTTCATATTCATACACTATTTTTCAAATGATAAAAATGAAAGATGTAGCAGGGGTTTATTTCGTGGTGTAACTCACATACATTAAGATGTAACTCGCGTATATTAAGATGTAACTCGTGTACAATAAGATGAAACTCGCGCTGAAGAAGATGTAACTTCATGATATATTATCAAATGTAACTTCAAAATAATTTGTTAAAATTACATATGCAATATTGGTCTCATTTGATAGATCATGAAAAATAAAAAAAAAAATTGATATAAAATTTATAAAAATCGGATATCAAATAAAAAAGTTATTACAATTTTTAACAATAAAAGAAATAAAAAATAATGGACACACCATCCTAATGGTGCGCCGGTTTCAGGGTATAAATTGTGCAAATAATTGTTTATTTTAAACAAGTTATTGAATGTTTAATACTCCGTATAAAAAATCACGTGTACACTCATAAGTCAATTCAAAAAGAATTTAAATGAAATTTTTATAAATCCTAATAAAATAAGATAATAGTCAAATCCACTTTTATGATTATTATCTGACCCAAATGCAGGTGGATTCTAAAATAAGACAATTGCTTTCATTTATTGTATTGATGACATCCATATAAATACAATGAATAGGAGTGTAGGAACATAATTTGAATTAAAGTGTAATTAAAAATAAATGTGGCGCGTAACAGACTAACACAACAGGATGGCTAATTTTTTCTTTTTTTAACTGGAACGGTTTGATATGGATATATGTTAGGTGGGGTAATGTAATGTGATGTATCCCTTGTGCCAAATGATTGGACCCTAACAATTGCTTTTATTAATACTTGAAAGACAACTACACTATTTTATCACATACTAGGTGGGTGTGTTTGGGAGTTGTCGGGCTTCGAACCCGAGATCTAGCCCTTGTGGCACTCCCTTGCTACCAGTTGAGCTACGCCCACCGATGAGATGTATGTAGGAGACTAAACAGTACAATAGTTTACAATTGAGATTGAGAAGTACATAAACTTGGGAACATGGTGTTAATTTAGTACAAATTTAAATTTAAACCTTAATATGTCTGATGTGGCTAACGAATTCCTGATACAGCAAAATTAAACCCACAACATCTTCTTACTACACATTATTAATTTCCAATCCCTAAAGGTATGTTTGGGAGTTTGGAGGGGAGGGGAGGGGGAAGGTTTTGGAGGGATGTTGTAGGAGGGGAAAGGGAGAGGAGGGTGATGAAGCCCTTCTTTGTATTTGGGAGTAATAAAATTGGAAGAGGAGAGTTTTTGAAGGAATTATAATTAAAATCACTTTGAGATATGACGAATTCAAATCATTGAGGCATTGAACTGATATTCATTTCTAATTTAGCTTAAATTACCATCTTGTTAATTATCCTCCAAAACTCTCCAAATTGGGGGGAACTTACAAATTAAGCATTTGTAGGGTTTTGAAGGGTTGCAAAAGCCCTCCAAAACCACTCCTCCAATTTTTAAAACTCTCAAACATGAAAAAGAGGGTCATAAACCCCCATTAACATTCCCCTCCCCTCCAAAACCCAACTCCCAAACACACCCTAACTATTCTTCTCCAACTCGGTTGACGGTGATGAATTGGGAGAGAGGAGTGTCGGCGTCTTTCACTGCCTGAAGTCGTCGAGCCCTCAGCATTCACAGGGAACCAAGAGCACTCTTGAGGGGATGAGAATTCTGCAATTGTTAAATTTTGCTGTGGATTTTCTTAAGACCCGAAGTTCCATCCTAAAAGGTCAACCCTGATAAGAGGAGTTGCCCAAACTAAAAGGGGATGAGAATTCTGCAATGGTTTATTGTTTTATAGCTTTTCGGTGTGGGACAAATACTCTAACACGCCTCCTCAACCCGAACCGGGCTGGATAATATCGGGGTGTATAAATGGGTCAAACATACCCTTAACAAGCTACCCGTAATCATGGGTGCTAAACAAGCTGTCAAACCACAACTAGAATTGAGTCTGATACCATGTTAAGGTCCGGGGTTTCATCCTAAAAGGTCAACCCTGATAAAAGGAGTAACCCAAAGTCTTATATAGTGATTTATTGTTTTATATCTTTTCGATGTGAGACAAATTAATACTCTAACAGATTTGCGTGTGAATTTCGCAGGGGACCAATGTTGCGGTGTGATTGTGTGAATTTTGCAATCGTTGATGATATGTGTTGCAGTGAAGGTGAACATCAGAGAGGAGATGGGATTGTACTCTATCTAGATGTGTAAGCTCAAAAACAAAAGGGAAAACTGTCAAATAGATCCTCCAACTTTCATAAAAAAGTCAATTAAGACCTTCTATAGGAGACTATGTCCGGTTGTCGCGATTTGGGGCGGTTCTCGATGGAATTTTTTGATGAAATTTTTTGAGCATCTTATTCACCAAGTCTAGTTTACTCATACCAAATTTGAGCTAAAAATTTAATCGGGAGCGCATTCAAAATTAATTCGAGAACGCAAAAATGCGCAGTTATCTTCAAGAATTAATTTAAATGTGTTCCCGATTGAATTTTTAGCTGAAATTTGGTATGAGTAAACTAGACTTGGTGAGTAAGATGCTCAAAACAATTCATCAAAAAATTCTAACGGGAACTGCCCCAAATCGTGACGGCCAGACAGAACCTCCTATAGAAGAACTTAATTGACCTTTTTATGAAAGTTCGAGGATCTATTTGACAGTTTTCCCAAAACAAAACAAAAAAACCTAAGAGAAGCAGATGGAAGATCTAGAACTAAAGAACAAACATTCTCTCTGGACGAAATTTTCTTTGAGATGACTGGGTTAGATACCAGGGAGATAAATGCAAATTATACTGTCTTACCTGTGTACCATGCTCATGATATACCAGTACCAAATACAGTACAATTTCTAATTTTTTGGAAGCTACACATGTTCTCTTTCTTTTCCCTTGAGCACTCCAGGTTTTATTTCTTTAGTTTTCTTTTTCTTTAATTTTCACTCAAGCACTACCTACCAAATTATTTCTTTCTCTTTAGTTTTCTTTTTTATTTACTTCAATTCTTTAATTTTCTCCTCTTCATGAAAATACTACATACTCCGTATATAATTGTGATTTTATTTTTATCTAATTAAATTACAACTAAATTAACTTTTTTCATTACCAATTTAATAAAAAATTATTAAACCACATAAAATAAGTATATTGCATTAATAATCATACACTATTTTTTTACTTTTTTTCTTCAATAGAAATTACTACCGAATTTATTTTTTGTGTAATTCTTTTGTACATTTATACACTTTTTTTGTAAAATATTTTTCATGTTCATACACTTTTTTCTACAATATATTTCTTATCTCTTTGCGAAAAAATATATTTCTTATCTCATTTATATGTTTTTAGTGTTTTAAGACATTAAATTTATTTATTTTGATTTATATTTCATAAAGCATGATATTATATTACATTTTTCATATGCTTATATACAATTTCTGGAATTACATTTGATAGTATACGGAATTACATTTGGGAGTGTTACGAAAGGTCTATTTTGTTGTAGTGTCTTCTTATTCGCGAGTTACATCTTCTTATACGCGAGTTACATTTAGATTTCTTTTAAAAAGTTACATTTTACATACAACTAAGTTAGATTTTTCATTAACACGAGTTACATTTTCTATAACATGAGTTACATCACATCATAAAGCCCTGCTATTCAAACAAAAGAATCAGTTTTATGCAAAAAAAATGCAAAAAATGTTTCCTTAGACAAAAAAGTGATTTTTAAAAAAATACTTTTATGGCCTTGATATAAAAAACAGAACATATTCACTATTTAAATAATCAGCTACTATTGAAACAAAAAAATCACTTTTTTTGCAAAACAAAATGATTTTTTATTGCGGAAAAAATGATTTTTTGGCAAACTAAATTATTTTTCTGTTTCTTAATTTACTTTCTACCTTCATTAGAATTTGTATTCTGCTTCTTTTATCAATAAAGATTTCTTCTTACGCAAAAAAGGCAAAATAAATTATTTTAAGAAACAAAAACATTATTTATGGTCTGAATATTAAAAACAAAACATATTCATTATTTACGTAAAGTAATTGAGCAATTAAATTCTTTATTTTCATTGAAATCAATGTTTTATTTCTTATAATCCGTATTAGACAAGTTACATTTAGACTTGCGGACTCCTCTGTAGTTACATTTTTTATTAGCGTCAGTTACATTTCTTTACACGCAAGTTACATCATTCATGCTATCAGGATAAAAAAGAAAAAAAATTACTATACACGCGTATACTGTTCACGCGTATACTGTTCAGGCGATTTTTTTAAAAAATTGGGCAAAACTGCGTCGTTTTCGGGGTGGAGCATGATGCTTACCGTTGGATGATCCCACGGTATACGAACTGAGAGATAAATGTTGATGCTGATTTGGACTCCATCGTTTATCAAAGAAACGGTAATTAATTGCCACATCAACTCTTTTTTTACATTAAACTCAAACTTGTACTAAATTGACACTGAAATCTCGAATTTATGTACCTTTAAATCTCGATTACAATTTAATTTAATGTACTATTTACACTTTTGTCGTTCTTGAACACTATAAGTGTACTGAGTTAATCCTAGATCACTTATTTCAAATTTTAACCATATGACCGATTCAGCTGCCTATACGTACAAATGATGTGATATTCTTACGCTCCCCTCTGAGTCTTCCATTCATCTCTCAAACAAGGTGTAAAAGAGTGGTAAATATATGCTTTTACCACATACTACGTATTTTTATGGTCTTTTACCACGTATAAGGATAGAAATTAGAACTAATGATAAACTTACCTGGGTTGGGTCCTCCTGGAACGTCGTGTAACTTTCGTCTCAACATCTCATCATTTCTCTGTGATGTTTTATCATATTTAAATTAATAATCATAAAAAATGAGCTATTTAAAGTGTAATCATGATAACTTACTTAGTAGTCACATATATTATTTCAGAGAGTAATTATAAAGTTGTAAAGACAACAAAAAACGATAAAATTAGACACATAACTACTTGATGACAGACAAGAAGAGGAGGAGGCAAGCTTACTGAAATAATATGTTGAAAGTATTTATCAATGACTAGCATTTTGTTGGGCAGGTTGCTCCTGTCTGTAACACAAATCACAAATTACTATTTTTATAATTTATACACATAAGTATTCATAATTTTTATGATTGATAGATGATATATAAAGTTAGATATTCAACAATATCAAACACAATGTCTACATATGGTATTGTTACGAAAAATTTACCAAAAACACATAAGACTCAGAGCCGTCTGTTAGTAGATGCAATAGGTGCGTTGCACTGGGGTCCACATTTATAAGAGCTCCCAAAAATGTAGTGTGTAGTACTACGCAGTAGTTATAGGTCGATTTTTGTTGATGTTATGTATTATTTCTGATTTCAAAAGATGTCTAATTTTTAAATTGTCTAATTTGCCATTAAGATGTCTAATATTTAAAACTTATATTTCACATAACTATCTAGTCTATTTGTATTTCATTGTTAAATTTTGCATTCTTCCTTGTTTTTGGGGGCCTCATTTTGTCATTTGGAACCGGGGCCTCCAAATTCATTAGATGACCCTGATAAGACCGTGAAAAAATGCAGAGAGAAATGTCATTAATTAAATCTTTTGTGTCTATCTCTCTCATGCTACATATGCACCGTGCACATTGTGATATTGGAGATATTCTAAATTTAATTAATCATAGTGAATTAAAATTTAAATATTTAGAAGAAATAATTTTATATGTATGATTATAGTAAAGATTATACACAAAAATATTACTAGTGACTGTAGCATGTAGTAACTTAATTATAGTAACTTATGTTCAATTTTTAAACTTAAGTGACCATGACACTATAATGTATAAAAATAACTATTAGTCATATTTGTATAAATATGTTTTGTTTTAGAAATATTTTTGAAACAAATATATTTAGAAATTATGAATAAAAATTACTACATCCGTTCTCTTTTAATTGCAACATTGAACTTTTTACACTATTCACATACTTCGTATTCTACTTTGAATTTATTTTATTAATTAATGTATTATAAATTAAATTTTTAAAAAATATTGTTAAATTATTCTCATTCTAAATTTTCAAAATATGAATTTTTAAAATTTTTCACTAATAAGGAATGAAAGATATTAATGGTCAAACTTGTGCGACGTTGGCAAATGTGAAATGTTGACTGTTGCAATTAAAAGGGAACGGAGAAAGTATAAGATAAAAAAAATGAAAGTAATATATGATTAAATAAAATTTGATGTCAAAATAGAGAATAAAAAATCGTGTTCAAAACAAAGAAAAGGTTTAAAAGTGAAGATCAAATCATATCATTTTGGGGAGTAGAGATCGATCGCGTTCGTAAATGTAACCAAAGATATACCTATGGAAAAATGACAAAAAAAATTACCTCTACACTTTGAGAAGATAAAAATATGGTCAAATTTTCATTTTTCAAAAAATGCGAATAGTCAAATGCATACGACCTCTGCAAGTATCGGCGACAGAGCCCCCTCTCTATCTATCAGATTGAGATTATAGTTCAATTTACATCCTCTCAACGTACCGTTCGGTCGGGGTTGGGGAGCCTCACGGATGGGGTGTCATCTTTTTTTTAATGGGAATAATCCTTGTTTAATTAATATATATTTCTTTTAATTCCGAATTTTCCCAACTACCCACCCCTTGCTCCTTCCCAATTTCATAGACTCATTCTGATTTTTCTCAATCTAAGTTTAATTAACTTAGACCCTTGAATCTTAAGAAAATTCTTTATGGAGTAAACTATAACACATCTTTTAAAGGACCTATTTACTTCTAAATTATTGCAAGTTTTTGAGTTGTTTCAAAAATATTTCTCGGTAATAATTAAAATAAAGCATATGTATCAAAGTATGACTATAATTATGATGAGTCTAGTGTCATGGTCACATAAGTATAAAAGTTCAAGATATATTGCTATGGCTAAAGTGATTACACTTGGAAGATATCATTTTTGTAAACAAGCTTGATTATAGTAATACATATGTAATTATTTCTTTTAACAATGTCTATTATAGTTAATACTTCGAGTAATTTGTTTTATTTTCATAGATTACTTGGAGTAATAGTTTATAATATGAAATACCTTTGGCCAATTTAGCCCTTGTTATGTTTTAATACCATTCAATGTTTTATTAATAGTTAAAACATAAAAGTAAAAAAATAGTTTTCTTTATAATAAAAATGTAAAAACAAAAAACATGGAGATAAATAAAAATAAAAAATAAGAAAAACAAAAGATTATAAAACCAAAATTGTATACAAATAAAAAATTAAAAAATTAAAATTAAAAAAATAAGATTATGCAGGCCTCTGTCACCGCTTCTGCCGCCTCCCAACACCACTAGCCCCGACAATCATAAAACATGCTAACGTGCATTTTTAGTTCCTTATTGACAGCAGTTTGAAATACTTTGGTATTTTTAAGCGTATCATACCATCTTTTTGGCAAACATAATTTTCTTTTTAAATTTTTTAGTTTTACGCTTTCGGTATAGATGATTTTTTTAATTATTGTTATGTGTTTATTACAAATAAAAATATAATTCTGTAGTAAGTTATGCTAAAGGTATAATAGGACAATAGTGTATATTCCTAATTTTTACGCTTTAATCCTATTTTTAGAAGATAAACATTACAAACCTATTTGTATTTTTAGAGATTAGTTTACTCTTAATTATATCGAGCTATTTTCAATTCCCGTATATACTTTAAGAGAGTATATGCTATGGAGATATATTAACCTTAGTGACAAATAAATTGGCCTTCCAATTTAGTAGAGAGCTTACACTTGTGGAGGGACCGCATGGCTTGAGCAGTGGAAATATAGTTGAAGCTGCTGGAGAGCAAAATTGCTGCCAACAAAAGGCATTTGAGGAAAAGATGGCATAGTGTTTTATGTCTTCTCTCCATCTTAATTAAACACAAGGTGGCTGATTGATATATAAGTTGAGATGTTATATATATACACACACATAAGGCAGGTAAGGGGTTAAGAAGACTCGTTTGTGTGAACTTTTGAATATAATGTGAATTTTTCTGATATGACCTAAATTATGCTCTCATATTCTCTGCTCTAAGTCCAAATTTTATGATTTGATTCGAACATTTGGATTGTAATTTTCCTGATTTGATTAAGCGCATGTTATTGTTAGGGGGATGATGTGACTTTGCATCTCATTTCTTTTTTGTAATGTTAAAGTTTACACGTCATTTTCAGAATCATTAATGTGTGCATCGCAATTAACATACTCCATAAAATCTTACTCCGTTTGACTTTTCACCTCTCATCTGTTTATAATTTTTGGGCCGATAAGATGCATATAATGATGATTCTGAAAATGAGGTATAAAGTAACACAAAGTCAACCCCCTTACTATTACTCTTATTATTCTTAGTTTTGTTCTTCTTCTTGTTACTGTTGACTTGAATTGTTGTTACGATTTATACCGATTTTGGTCAGTTTTAGCACGTTTCGGTTAGTTTTTATAGGCTCGATCGGTGTCTTAACCAAAAGCATAATCATAAACCAAACTGCCAAGAGTAGGGTTGATTTTTGGCCAGTTCGGTTTTGGTCGGTTCAGTACTAGAAATTTTATTGATTATTGCTCCTCTCATATTTACTGTGGTATATATAGCAACCACTACAAATAATACTTTCATTATTTTTATTTTTCTTCTTGTGGTTCTTGCTTTAAACCGTAGCAAACATGTTTTTTTGTGGGGGGGGGGGGGGGGGGTCGCGTAATTAGCGTCAAATATATTTGTTTCATTTTAGCTAAGAACTGCATGAGATTAGTATTATTTTAATATTTTTTTAGTAAAATTGTATACTTTTTATTGTGGTTACACCACCAAAAAAACACGGGATTGACATGAATTTTGACAAGATTTTTGGCAAGAATTATGCAAAATCCGTGCCAAAAACACTTTGGATCGAGTTATTTGACACGAAAAGTCGGTAATTCGTGCCAAATTTCATGTTTTTTTGTAGTGTTATAGGGCTATAATCACAACAAAAAATGATGAGAGAATACAAATATAGTAAAAATGTGAGCGGAGAGTAAATGATCCAAATTTGGATCATATTGTTCGTAACCAGAGAAGATATGATCCAAAAACGTGATCCAAAAAAATGATCCAAAACTAGAATGACTTCATTCGCAATATAGGCATTTTTAGAATATAAATATCATGCGTACGTAACATAAGTGCATTTTTTTATTCTTTAAACCCGGTAGGTAAACCATAAAAATCAGTGGAGTAAATGTCAGAGAACATTTACCAAATATTATAAAAAAAACATAGCAAAATACACAAGGAGGGACTTAGACTATGTTTGGCAGACATAAGTCTCTAACTTCTAGCTTTTGTATTATTCAAAAAATCTGTAAAAGCTTCTAGTTATATGTTTGGCATGATAATTTTTAAGAGTTTTTCAAAAATTAAAAGATTTTTTTGAGATGCGACAGGGAGTAGCATCTGAAAAAAGCTCGTGACTTTTAGTATTAATTAGTCCTAACAACTTGTATACCAAACCGAACTAAATCAAACAGTCAGCTTTTTACCAAACAGCTATCACAGTTTCTCTTTAAGATCTTTTCGGTCACTAAAAGCTAACAGTTATTAAATTAAAAAGCTCACAAAAGTATTTTTTCAGTTGTGCCAAACATACCCTTAATACCTTACCACAAAATAAATGATGCTCAAAAAAGAGCATAAGAGGCAATTAGATTACATAAGATTAGTAGGAAGAGGGTTGGAAAGTCGTAGATGATTCTACGATTACAGTATACTTCGTATAAAAAAAGAATTTTCACTTTTCACGGTACTTATCTCTAACTGCGGTAAGTAATACTCCCTCCGTCCCGTTGGAATGTTCCTGTTCGGTTTACGATGCTTGACTGACGATAAAGCAACTCGATCCCTGTTTACGCTCCGCTTATTTTTAATAAATAAAATTCACATATTCAGAAACTACATTAAAACCGTTACAATTTTGGCCCATGAATAGTTAACGGGAGAGAGGAGTATTCACTATTGCGGTCCTATTTCCTGCTCCTGAAAAACCGCCGCAAATAACCCAATGCATAATTTTGGCAATTTACACCCCATCAGTAATTAGCTAATGATTATATATAATGATTATTTGAAAATTGATCAAGTGTTTGGGGTAAAATTAATCCTCACCCTTTTGCACATGAACTCTTTACACATCTTTTACATGGGCTATCATTTCTCATTATCATATTAATTAATAATTACTACTTCTAATCAAATGTGTTAAGCTCTCGATCTCATATATAAATTCAGCGCATTAAAACTCATGTGCTTTGGATAATGAATCAAATTTCTTGTAATCACGAATGATAAAACTTTTAATCCACAATATTTTTATAGCGATAACACAATTTAAACCATATAATTCTTAAATTGTAAATTTATAACTGAACATAATCATTTTCTCTTTAAAAAAAGAGTTCGACTGAACGAAAAACAACAATTTTTCATTTTTCTTGAATAGATTTAGGTTTTCGTGCACACCTTAATTGTCATTGTATTTATGAAATCTACCCTCTAATTTGGTGCAATCTTGGGAAATTACCGTGCGTCCGTGCCTATAGTCTCTAGAGAAAATGTTATCATGGTCTCCAAATCTCTATTACCAAATTTTGGCAATAATTAATTACTTATAGGCCGTCTTCGGTCATTTATACGCGCTTTTCTTGAAAAATGCGGTGATTAGGCATTACTTTCGGCGGCACCAATAATCTCCTCGATCTGTTCTAAATTTAGGAATTATTGGTATGCCCATAATAATGCCCCAGTTCAAGACCCGCCCCAAAAACCCTTTCATGGTACAATTAATTCTGGAGTTTCTTTCAAAGAACAATTCCAAAAGTATATAATCAAAATAAAAGTAGTGTACAAAATATGGGATTGGTAACTTTAGTTATTATAATTGTGTTCAAATTTTACATCATAGTGACTATAAAACTTATTGTTGGGGAATATTATCCCGACCTACTACTGTTCAGAGGCCCAAGGCATCACCCCGGTATGGGGCCCAGTCAGCAAGGCCCATTTAGGCCCACCCGACCCGTTGAGAGCCATTTAGGCCCACTCGGCCTGCCCCGACCTATCTCGGCCCGTTAGGGCCTGTCCGGCCCATTAGGCTAGAAAGCCCTCATCCCCCTTCTATAAATAGGAATCTATGCTTCCATTTATGGAATCTGATCTTTGGGCTCTTCTCTCCTGGAGAGAGTTTCCTCTTCCCTGCTTCTTCTTCATCCCTAGATTAGTCAGCTCATAAACTCCATTAATGGAGGTTCTACATTTGTACTATGTAAATGGTGAGGAGAGTATTAATGAGAAAGAGCGGACTTGGGCGTTAGCCTAAAAAGTCCCGTGGTTTTCCCCCTTTCGGGTTTCCACGTAAAAATTGAGTGTTATACCAAATTATATCTATATTTATTAGTTTATGTTGGACTTAAACCCAACATTGGCGCCGTCTGTGGGAACCTATTCAAAAAGATTATGTGTTCTTGATTTTACTGACTTTGAAACGAAGAAGATAACTCATTCCAGGTACAAAGAAGGAAAGAAAAAGAAATGGAAAAAGGAGTGACTAGCAGCTGTGTTCAAGACCAATGATTTTCCTGTAACTCTGTAAGAAGCACCAATTCTGGGATGAGGGCATGCAGTTAACCTCACTGTGGAAGGAAAATAGATGGAAGACCCCCCTTATGTCGGGTAAGTTGCTCAGGATATGGGCATGAGACCAGCAGTAGGAGCCAACTACGACGACAGAGCAACAACCGAGCGCAGGTCTCCTCTAGCAGCCACCGCCCATAGCCCCATACGCTTCGCAGTGCCACTATGATCTTTACGGATAACGTAGCCACCCCAGTGAGCCCGGAGCAACAGAAGCTGTCTTTTCGCAGAAAAATGTGCCGATTAACGCGGCTAGTTGGTGGGGTGATAAGTGGGACCATGAAGTGACGGCTTTGGACTCAGCCTTGTTGCCCGAACGGAAGAGCATCGCATCGGGCAACCGGGCCCAACCTCTTGAGCAAAGGGAAGAGACTAACCCCACTCAAACATTCCGGCCAACCCGGATGGTATTACCCGACCGGCGGAGTAATGCTCGCCGTATGGGTGTGCTGGATATGAGCGATCCATTATTCCGAACGATAGGAAAATTGGACCCCAGAAACCACCCCCAGATGGGATGTTTGAATTAGCGGTTTAGAGCATTGACCAGCAACCTTGGCATCCAAGCAGTCCCCGTAAGAACAGACCGACAGTGGATTCCCAGAATAACCGTTGGGTTCTCAAGCAGCAACATCATGTACCGAACGGGAGCCACCGGAATCCGTCACCTTATGCGCTAGCCATCTTACCCCGGAGCCTCTCATTGTTCCAACCTGGACCGGGTATGCGACCAGGGAGCACAGCCCACCGCCCGGCAAGCATCCCCTGCCTAACGCCGGCAAATCCTGTATGCTAAACCAACTGGCCATTCCGTCTAGTGATCCACCACACCGAACGCACGGGGAGGCTGGCCATATCCATGGACGAGGATCTAAACTGGGCAAGACCGGGAGACGGACGATTTGACTTTTTCAGTTGAACCAACGACAGCCCGGCGTGGCTCACTTCCGGGCATTATCACTGATCGAGACCAGGACGACATATCTCCCCGGCATCATCAGCCTCTCTCGTCCAGTTGCCGCCGACGCCTTACCGATCGGCATCATCCCGTCCGACATCCCCTTTTTGGATAGCCTATGTCTTTCCGAACGGCAATCAAATCGGTAATCCACACCAGTTATGCTACTCATCCTTAGTGTTGATTGGCGGTTGTTTCCCAAGTCTCCCCGAACGGAACATGTTCCACTCCCATACGGGATATGTTGGGCTTTAACGTATGGTTTACAAGTATTAGGCCCCCCGATCGTGATAAGCATTTGATATGGGTTCCAATTACTGGGCTGCAGCTTGGGAGTGT